CAAGGCAAGATATTCTTACGATGTTCTAGAAACTTTCAGGAAGTGAGTGAGGGTGAAGTTAAGTGGGCAAGAGAGATAACAGATTCAGAGATGTAGTTGGGATGGCAAAGCAGGGAGAGTCTACAAACCATGGAAGTCTTGGAGACAGGAGTAAGGACTCTGGACTTGAATCTAAGTGAGATGGGAAGCCATGGATGGTTTTTGAGCTGAGGAAGAAGTAGCATGATCCCATTTACATTTTGGGGAAAAAAAATCACCCTGGCCCCTGCGTGTGTTTAAGTGTGAGTATATTTTTTCCCACTCAACCTTGCTCCCTTTGTTCCCTGAAAAGAGGGACCTAATTACAAATCTCTTAACATGCACCATCCTCCCGCACACCAGTGTCTCTTATTTCCTGCAAAACTTAATCCCTGTCAAGCTGCCCCATTCCTGAGATCTGCAAATACTTTGTACATCCCATGGGAAGCCTCTTTGTTGCTCCCCAACAATGGAACTGGGAATGAGATGCCGGGTTCTGCAGGCTCTGCTTTGCTCAGCTTTCATGTTAAGTACTGATTTCCATGACTCTACCCCCATGAGACTGGGCTGCCTGAAGGACCATATCTCTTTTTTTATTTCCTCAGTGCCTATGATAGTGCTTTGCACATATCAGGTCCTCAGCAAATATTTCATGTCTGAATAAACAAGTAAATTAACACACTCATAAGGTAATTTTACCAAAATTCAAGACAAAATATCAAAGAATATTCCTTTGGTCATTCACAATATCTAGAAGACAGAAGGAACTAAACCAGCAAATTCATAAAACATTGACTCATTCATCTGTGATTTTACAGAGGTAGGAATAAGTCAGATAAAGAGGGAGTGGGCACTGAATTTAGAAACACCTAAGAACAGGAAACATTAGTATGCCTTTCTTTAGATCTTAGTAGACCTTAAGTTCTGGGGGCAAGGATGAGGTAGGCTGCTGGGGAGAGAATCGCAAAGGCAGATGGGCTAAGTAGAACCAAGCAGTGTTGACTATGTTTACAGATTTTAAATAGCAACAACTCCATCCAGCTTTAGTTTTAGACTAGTCAGTCTGGCAATCGTGTGCTTGATTACCAGAATGTAGGGGCAGTCAGCAGTCAGGAACCTTTGGAATGCTGCAATAGTGATCTATGCAGATGTAAAGAAGGCCTTAACAGGGATAAGCAGAGTAGAAATATATAGTGGGGAGCGGACGTCAAGAGTCATGTTGATGCAGTATTTATAGTGCTTGGTGTATGTAGGGGTAGGGGCAGAGAGGGACCAGGATGCCCTTCAAAATGATAGCTGGGAGATTATCACTTCTCTAATTGGGCCAAATAAGCAGAACATATTTAGGCGGAATGATGATTTAGTTGGTGAAATTTGTTGCAGCTGAAGTAGCTGTGGAACAACCAGGTGGAGTTGTCTAATAGGAAGTTAGAAATATAGTTCTATGGCTCATCAGAAGATTCTAGTGTGGAAAAATGATTAAGGAGCCACTGAGTGAAAAATAATAGTAGTTGGTACCAAAGATTCAGATGGCACCTTAGAAGGCTACAGAGGGCATTATAAAGGGTTCTGGAGGGAACCCATAAAGGAAGGAATGGGGAATCTATCTATGGATACAAGTGGTGGAGGCAGCTCTGCAACCCGCAGCACATGGTTTACAGGTTTGTACCCAAGGCTGCTGCTGCAGTCAAGGCCTTTATCAGACAGAGGGGACACAGAAAATCTAATGCAATTGGCTTTAACTTTAAAGACATACCTCAGAAATTACATACATCATAAATACTCAAATCCCACTGACCCAAACTTGGTAGCATGGATGTATCTATGCACAGGAAGGCTAGGAAATATAGCCAGTCACTGGGTTTATCTGTGTGCCCGGATAAAACAGAAAGGAGTCTAACGCAAAAAGGAAGAAATGGAGATAGGTACTAGAAGATATAATTAGATTTTTGGGTTATTTTCTTTTAAACACGTTGCTGATGTAAGTCTCATCTAAGCAAAGAGAGCTTTGTCCAGGGAAAATGGAAAAAAAAAACCCTGAAGCTTCCCCAAAGGGCAGATGTGGCTGGGATGCTGGTGCAGAGGTAGCTTTGTGAGGATGTGGCATGGTGCAGTATGAACACAGGCTGCACCACACTGAATCAAACTCGAGCTCTGTCACTTTCCTGAATAAGCTTCTTAATACCCATATCTCAACCTTACTTCAGAGGATCAATGAGATTAAGCATATTCAGTGCCAAGCACAGCACCTCCACCTGGTAAGGACTCAGCTTATTACTCCTTTCCTTTCTTCTCATTTTTAAAGGGCAGAAGATAAGATATACTTAGAAATGAAAAAGAAGCTTAAGAAGAAAGGTGGCTGGACACCAAAAAAATTTTTTCCTACTTTAAAACTTTGCCTGCAACTCTGATGTCTAGTCTTATGAAAATCAAGTTACAATGCCAGTCTGCCCGTGTGCCTGACATACGTTGCAGAGGTAGTCTAAGGGCAGGTGTTACTCCAGAGGAGCACCCGTAGGTAGCCAGGTCTCAGGTTTTAGAAGCTGCTGGAGTTTGAACTAAAGGCAGTAACTGGTTGCAAGAGTTTTCTTTTGTCTTATTAAAATAACAACAAAAACCACATTTTTCCAGTCAGGTAATGCTATATTTATAAACAACCTGTAACTTAACTGTAACCTTATAGATAAGAAAAAAGGTAGCCCTACCCCAAAACCAGTTAATAGCTCCATCCACTTACAGAAAAAAAAAACAAAACAAAACAAATGAACAAACAAAAATAGCAGCACAAGAATACAAGACTATATTTCTCAGGTTTTATCCTTCTTTGCAAACTTTACTCCCATGTCTTACAAAACCCTAGAGATTGCTCCCCTAGGCCGCTCACTTAATCATAAGGCAGCAGAAGTTACCTGGCATGTCTAAGAGAACAGATCCTTAACTGGAGAGGTTACTAGGAGTGAAAAACCTCTCTTCCCTACCTCTTTCCCAGCTCCTCTCAACTTTTAACAAGAGCAAAAGATGCAAAAAAGAAATAGCAGGTTCCCTGTCTTCCCGTGAGCTGGGCCAGTAACCATGAGTCCAGATGAACAAAATAGTAGCAGCTTCATATTCGAGGGCCACAAGTAAAATGAGAGGGTGGTGAGAAGAGAAACTGTTGATTAGTTTTCAAAGGTTAAGTGTGAATAAATCATTACTATTATTTTAGTGAGAAGTACATTGTTTTATTGGCTTGTTGAAATGAAACTTATCTACGGAAAAATACCTGATTCCAATTCTGTTCTAAAACTCAATGCTAATTTCCCCACTGATGAAGGAAAGAGGTAAAAAATATGATCTTTCTTCTTTGGAAAGCCTTAATAAGATATTTCTAGTCTGAAGTTGGTGACACCATTTATTTTCCTCTACCAGAAATTCCAGCTGAGGAGAAAGAAAGGACTTGGGGGGAAGAAAAGAATTTCCAAAATATAGGTCTAATGTTTTAAAAATGAGTACACAAAAATAAACTAAAATAAGTTGAACTTCAGTGCCTTCATGTGTCAATAGTAAGGTTAACAACAAAAAGAAAGTCTGAAAGAGTTTTTTCCAAGTAGACATTATGTTCCAGAAAAGATTTGGATTTGATTTGCATGCTTAGCATCTTCTTGCCTCTGAAATGAAGTGTTTTGGATGATTTGCAAGGCATTCTCAGAAGTCACCTGTGTTGGTTCCATTTCTATTGTTCCATATTTATGCACCACTGCTCACCTCCCACTGTTTACTAAACAATTTATGATAACACACATTTATAGCTGTTTTCACAACAAAATCATTTTGTGGCATTCATTTCTCTGTAACCAAACTTCCCCAGGGGAAGCGGGTGGGATGTGAATCTTCTAGTTCTGTGCTTTAACATAATGCTGCATCACTAAACAAGAAGAGGGCAAATGAACTGTCATTTCCACTCAGATTAGCAAGTCCCAAAGTGAGAAGAGGTAGATTTTATTTTAAAACTAAGAATGATAAAGAATAAAGGAAGACGAAGAGAAGGCAAAGAAGATGAAGAAAGCACTCAATATCAACTTTTCAAATCAGCAGAAGTCAATGGATTCAGGTTAGGAAGACAATTAAGCTCAGTTCGTTCAAAGACACTGAGTCAGGAACAAGGAAGAAACTTACACTGATAGTTCCTTGGTGAGACAACTGGGCTTTGGAATCAGAGGCACCAGGTCTAATCAGAGCTCTACTACTTCAGGCAAGTTACTTAACCTCTAAAGCTCTGTTTCTGGACATACTAATAACACCGATATCAAGTTCATGGGCTCATACATATACACAGAGCTTGGTGTATTGTTGGCACAGAGTAAACACTAAAAAATGGTAGCTATTATTATTTCAATGTGAAGGAAGAGGAGAAACACTGAATGTAAGCTTCATGAGATCAGTAATTTTTGTCCAGTTTTGTTCGCTGCCACATCTTAGCATGCCTAGCATGAAATAGGCACTCAAATATTTAATGATTTATCAAAATAAAAGAGCTATCACCTAGTCCATTATTTTGTAACATCTTCTGGATACGGCATCTCACAGCTTTGAAGGCCATATGGTCCATTTGAAAATAACTGTTGTTAAGATGTATGTTCTGTTGTGGCTTTTCATTTCACTCACAGATAGCGACCACTATAATCATCTTAAAACTTGAATCAGCATATCCATACCAACATCTTTTCACTTCCTTTGGAGATACTGAAGCTTTTACTTTTAATATGTATGCAGGACAATTATTTGAAGAACACGCTGATATTTGGTTTCACTCAAAGTTAAACAACTATTTAGCTAAATAATAAATAACTGTTTTTGTCATCTTTTTCTCTCAAATGTAAAGGCTATCACCTTGAACGAGCCAGAAAAAATAAAATCCACAGTTAGGTGACCTGGTGGTACACTGGGTTTTGATGTATTGTAAATTTCCAAAAGCAGTATTTGGGGAGCATAGTATATCTTACCTTTGCAGAATGCTCCATGGTGACCACCACTTTGGTTTTGGCACTGGACACTAAATCCATAGCACCTCCCATTCCTTTCACCATCTTCCCCTGCAAAACAAAAAATAAATAGCTCTGTATCTTTCACTTCTTTTGTATGTGCCAGAACAAAATTAACTTGCAAAAATAACCTACTAGAATCATTAAAAACTCATTGTCCTTCATTGCTTAGTGCTTGAAGTCTTATAACGTAATATTCTGTCATTCTATTATTCTGTGGTTGAAGGATAAAGTTCAGGATAAACATTACGTCACTTTTATTAAGTGTGGCTAATATGATTTTCTTGACATTTTAGCAATAAGACAATCAGTGGATTAAAAAAAAATTAAAAACCTTTCCAGAATTCTGGGACATAACTATTATTACAGTATCAGATTGAAATCCAAACACCCCTGACATCCACTTCTTTCTTTTTAAACACAATCTTTATTGCGGCACTATTCACAATAGCAAAGACTTGGAATCAACCCAAATGTCCATCAGTGACAGACTGGATTAAGAAAATGTGGCACATATATACCATGGAATACTATGCAGCCATAAAAAAGGATGAGTTTGTGTCCTTTGTAGGGACATGGATGCAGCTGGAAACCATCATTTTCAGCAAACTATCGCAAGAACAGAAAACCAAACACCGCATGTTCTCACTCATAGGTGGGAACTGAACAATGAGATCACTTGGACTCGGGAAGGGGAACATCGCACACCAGGGCCTATCACGGGGAGGGGGGAGGGGGGAGGGATTGCATTGGGAGTTATACCTGATGTAAATGACGAGTTGATGGGTGCTGACAAGTTGATGGGTGCAGCACACCAACATGGCACAAGTATACATATGTAACAAACCTGCATGTTATGCACATGTGCCCTAGAACTTAAAGTATAATAAAAAATAAAAATAAAAAAAATAAACACAATCAACTCTACTGAGTCTTCGATTAAGGGCACTTTCTAAAGTACTCTTGGATTTCCTGCAGATTAAAATTCCATTATGTAGTAGTAGGCTGAGGCATTAATGGTGTTTTTCTAGTAATGGCTAATAAGAAAGGTGGCTCTGTCTTTCTAACATTTGGCATTTATCTTGCTCTTAGAAAAATAAAATGAAAACCTTGGTTGCTAAGCAAAAACAGAACACAGAAACAGAGTTTAGGAGCATTTCACCATTATCATTCTATTTTTGATCATCTGGCCATCCCTTCTTTCATTATACATTTTACCAACCACCTTCTATGTACCACATGCTCTGAAAAAGTCCCTCCATCTATTCTATCTCCGAGTTACAGAGTTTGGAAAAAGCAAGTGTTTCCAGAGATGGTAAAATGATTCTTACTCAAGTATATTGAAGAGAAATGTCTTTGAACTGAAACCTCCTTAACATTTTATCTATTTTTTAGCCCAAGTCCTCTTGCTGATTTGCCAGTAAAGTCTTAGAGGGCTTTTAGCTCCTTTTTGATAATGGTAGAGCTATAAGGAGATCAGGAAATGCACTCAACATGCCTTTAAAACAGGGTCTCGAATTCCATGACTTCGGAGACATTTTACAGGTCAATGAAACAGAACATGAACATGAATTAGATGAGCAATATAAAGAAAAGAAGTAGTCACCACAGTTTTGTGGTTTGGAGTCTGTCAATAAATAAGATAGATGGCAGCTGGCAACAGCTAGGGGGCAAGGGATGAGGGTGGCAGGGGAAAGAAGTGCAGAGTACAAGATGAGCCTGGTTGCAGACAGCTTGAAGCAGAACATAATGTGCAAATGCATACTTTTAAACTTCTATAAGCAATGCCTTCATTCTTAGCTGCAACCCTAATAAACTGGGGGCCAATTTATTAGGTTGGTCATAATATTTCTGTAGAGAACACTGATATGGTACAAAATATAAATAAGTGAGAGTTGGAAGCAATCAATGTCTATCAAACTCTAATGAGAAAGTTTGAGATTTGTAGAGCAACAAAAGACACTAAAGCAACCCTATGATAAAATGTGTCAATCTGCTATGGTAAGAACATCCAAGCAGTCTCAGCTTCTATACATAGTGTCCTTGGCAGACTGAGGGGGCGAGCGCTGGGAGAATGAAAAGGCAGCAGCCAAAGAAAACCAGAAACCAAGCTAGAGAGTTAAAAACTCCTTGAATTAAAAGAAGTCCCTGAATTAGAATATCACAAGCAAATTCTGTCCCCTGTGCCACAATGGTTACATAGGTAAAAACTTATGCCAGCCTCTAACGAGAAGGAAGCCTGTCCAATTTAGATGAATCTGATTTATACATTTTAAATTACTGTCAATTAGTTTAGAAATATGTATAGAGGCCCTGCAGGGTACGAACCACTGTGCTGGCAAGAATACAACACACTATAAAACACGGTAGACCAAGCATGTCTGTTTTTGTTGAAAACACTCTTGATTCAATATAAGTGAATAGCCTTCACTCAAAGAGATTCAGCTGGCTTGATGTCTCATCCCCAAAGCACATGTTACAACCTTTACAGCACTATTTTGATTCTTAAATTTAATGCTTTTTCCAAGAGTGAAAAATGCACAAGATTAGGTGTAGAACACCGGAGATCTATACTGTTAACTATGCAATGGCAAAACACCAAATCTCTCTGAATTTGGGTTCATTATCTATACACCGGGAATAAGAATATCTGTACTACCATAGAGCTGTGGTGAGCACTGTACGAGACGATGTATGCAAACGTGTAATAAATAGAGTTTATAAATGTATTCACTTATCTTCAATCAATTCAACTTAGTGAATGTCTAGTTTAAGTGTGGCTCTATACTAGCATGCTAGAGAAGAACAAGGTTCTTCTGGAAAAGCTTGTTGCCTATGGAAGGAAAAGTATCCATGAATACTAAAAGACTCAGACTACAATTCCTTCCTCTAAAAGGAACATTTTCATCTCTCTCCTATCACAAAGTAGAGATAAGTGTCTTTTCCCTAAGCCTTTGTACTATTCGGTATGTAAAGCAATCACAAGGAATTTCAACTGTTCTCTTTTCCTCCCATCCCTCTTTTTCTCCTTCTCTCCATGATAAATATTTGGATGAGTGAATGGATGAATGAATTAAACCAACAAAGGTATAACACTGAGGATGCAATTGCTGACTGTGGCTGGGGAAGCAGGCAGGGAAGGAAGTAGCTCAGGGAGATTCACAAATGAGAGGATTCACAAAAGTAGCCCGTCAGGTGGGAAGAGCAATACTGTGAAAGAAAAGAGCAGTATCTTCTGATAGCATTTCTAGCAGGTTACAGGAAAACCTTCAAATATCTGATTTTCCTGCTTTTAGTGTGTTCATTGTATTGGAAACAGAAAATAAAATATTTCCTCCCATTTTAATTCCTAAAAGATTTCTGAAACAGTCAATTACTAAAAAGAAGAAAAGTCGTTCTATTTATGCCAGCAGGAAAACAAAACAGGGTTATACAAGGCATACTCCCTGCCTGACAAAAGCAGGAAATGCATCATCATGCTTCACTCCAGCTTAGCTAGGCATTCTTTTGGGATGCCACTACTTGCATCTCCCAGATCTCTATTCCAGTGAGGAGTGGCCATGTGCCTGAGTTCCAGACAATGGAAAAAATGGAGGTGATATCTATGATTTTCAGACTGGCCTACAAAAATCTCTTTCATGCAATTCTTCATGTTTTTTCACCTTCTGCAATCTGGATGCTGACATCCAAAGCCACTTTGGAAGATGGCCGAGTTTCCTTCAGCCTTGGTCCTTAAAGGACCATCTGTTGTACAGCCCACTTCTTTGGAACCACATTGCACCATTCAATATGAGTAACACATAAGTGCACAGGGTGCTAAGCCACTCAAACTGAAGGGTTTATTTGTTACAGAAGCTAGTATGACTAATATATTAAAGGGGCACCCCAATTATATGTAAGGGTGAGAATTCGGTGTCAAATTAGAACTGTTATAGCTGCACAATGGAAGGGGATCTGAGCAAGGCTCTTAAGGGGACATTTTACTACTGCTCTCTGAGTGAGGTAACTATGCCAGATGCTGTGCTAAGCACAGTAATTCACCTTTCTATCCAGATGTCCAACACACTACTTGACATTTTGGAGAGGTACAACATGATTTCTGAGTGAATAAAATGAGTGAGTGAATGAATGAATGGAAAGAATTTTGAGAAGATGAGAGCACTACAAGTTAAGGGAATAGCTGAACAGGGGAATACAGATTCCACCCCCATCCCTCATCTTCATCCCCAAAATTCAACATCCTATTCAACATACAAAACAAGAAGCTGATAAAACGGGGAGATTAAGGAGATAAAAATATACTTTTAAATAAGTCACAGAGGGAAAGTTATACTTGGGGAAAATAGGCCTATAATGAAGAAGAGCTTCTGGGCATGATTGAAGCATTGGGCCAGCATGACACAAAGTATGGCTTTCTTTAAAATCTCATCAGCAAACATACATTTCTTAAATGATGCAACTCTAGTTCTGAAATGCGTTCTGGCTAGCATAATGGAGAGATGATTGCTGGATGCTCATTTCATAGCCAACTCATCTTTTTGCTGTTAAGGATTGACCCTGATATCAAGTATGGAAAGATTCTGCAATAAAATGAGCTAGCAATGCTGTATACTCCATTACAACAATTATACAACCTTTCTAAAGATACTGATTCAAGTATCCTCAATTCACAAGTATTTACTCAGAGGCTATTATAAACCAGGCACAAAGATAGGAATTAGAAATAAAAGATGAATATGATGATCCACCTTTTTCTAGAAAATAGATTTAAGCTGAAATCAATAATTTCATCTACTTTGATCCTATTTCCTAATACTAGAATTTTAAAGAAAGAGAAAAACTATTATAAATGCAGTAACATTAAAAAGTCAACACATCAAAGTATAAATATTACATTGTACTACCCCCCTCCAAAAAAAAACAGGAATTCAAGTTGTAAACATGACCTTTGGTGATATGTTACGGATTTTACAAAAAGGAAAAATGAATGCATTTGAAAGGTTCTGTGAAATGCTATTTAAAATAAAGTACGGAACACACTGAAAATCATT